TAAATAATTTTCTTAAGAGAAATATAGGGAGTTGATAATTTTAATATAATAAACCCCATTAAGATTTTCGAGTTTTGAAAATCAAATCTCAGGCTAAACCAATCAATTTATTTCACGATAAATATAGAATAATATAAAAAATTCATCAAAATAATAATCAAGACGAGCAAAGGAAACAGGCATTTCTTATAAATTTTGGATGTAAAATAGTTGTGGAATAAAAATAGACTATTTCTCACCATTTCTCAAGTTTTTGCATATAGTAGTATATATGCAGTTATTTAATATATTCTTAAATTCTATTTTTTTCGAAAAGTATTGTGAATTATTATTAAATGATTGCTATACAGCAATGGTTCCCAATTAGTGGTACGCGTACCCCTGGGGGTACGCAAAATTGCATGAAGTGGTACGCGCGGCACTCTAAAATCGGTCGATTTAAAATTTAAATGCATGAGATGAAGCAATAAAAAAATAACGGGTGGACCATCAAAAATTCGGCAATTTATAACATGATGTGGAATGCACAAATTCGTTTGTTTATAACTAAAAATATTCTCGAAATTTCATTTTAAAAAATGCATTTGTGACAATACCTAAATTCTTACGCAAGAAACAAAAATTGTACAATTTATCATTATTATCATGTCAGCGAAGCAGCAATAAAATATTTACTACCACTTTGCACAACAAACCTCTGCGAGAGCGGATTTTCGGCCATGGCATTTCATGTGTGTTAAGTTATTGTCGATTCCTATGGAAATTTCATTTTAATAAACAATAATTTGAAATAATTTAATTTTGTGTCAGGCTGGCCTCTACTAGGTCCCCATAACAAAACTCTGGCTCTGGCTACGCCAATGATCGTCACCGACTTCAACTCGAAGATGACTTGAGACTGAAGCTGACCAAAAAAGCAACCAGATTTTACAAAGTTGTGCAAAGAAAATTGTGCACATTTGTCACATAAAAATTAAATAACCTTATGCTATTTTCATTATTATTAGAATTGTATTTTAAAGGTAATAAATGTAAAAAAAACTTATTCTATTTATCACTAGCTGTCTACCCACAGCTTCGCCCGCATTATATCGAATTTTCTCGTGGGAGTAAGATATTTTCTCGCAGTAAAATGTAGCCTATGTCCATCTCCAACATGTAAGCTATCTCTGTGCCAAATTTTATTAAAACCTGTTCAGCGGTTTAGACGTGAAAAGGTAACAGACAGACAGCAGACAGAATTACCTTCGAATTTATAATAATAGTATGGATTAATATGAATTTCTGCTATAAGGGGTACGCGAGTTTGAGCTCTTTCTTGAAGTGGTACGCAGGAAAAACTAATTGGGAACCACTGTTATACAGTTTGCATTAATTCATTCATATGTTTATCATTTATAAAATATAGTCTATTTCATTATAAACTTCTTAGTAAATCTTCTTAATTAATAGCTATATGTAATTTGCTATAAATTTTAAAGACTTATCACATCACAGTTTTCAATTGGAAAACTCGCTGAGATTTTATTAAAGCTTTTCAAATGAAAACTGTGATGTAATAAGTTCTTAAAATTTATAGCAAATTATATAAAGCTATTAAGAAGATTTATTACAATACAGGACAATACGCAAATAATTATAATTATAAACAATAAATTTATGTATGCTTTATTTTCGGCTATTATTTGAATTACCTCTAACAAAAATGCCCAGCTTTGGATCTCAAACATAAAATTATATAATTAAACTCTCTCTCTCTCTCTCTCTAAATATACAGTATATATACAGGGATGTTCATTTCAATCAATCCATTGAAATAATTCCTAAAATACAAATCCTACAAAAAAAATTCATTGAACCAAAAATGTTAGATTTTAAGGAGCCACAAAGTGGGTTAACAGTTTCGCCATTGATAGTGTTACAATCGGTGTAAAACAAGGTCAGTTTCATCTTCTCAAATGAAAACTCCCAGTTTTTATTGAATATTATGTCTCTACATGATAAACAAACTTGAAACATTTTTCCGAAAAATGTACAGTACTTATCAGAAATTATGAACGTTTGAAATTTTACGCGACATCCATAATTGCGTGCCCGCCTGCGTGGTTTGGCAATCTGTAGAGTTAAAAATACTTTAAAAATCATTAGGAAACTTATTATTTGATTAAATCATTATTTTTCTTCAAATAATGAACTACAAAATCTAGAGTTTCCATAAGTTTAAAACAAGAAATCTGGACATGTGAGATAGAGTTGTGACCAAAGTCCATGGATATTCAACATTAGGTAGTTAGTAGCAGCTCTAAGAAAATAATTCCACTGCCATGTTTTGAAACCGTGTCATATTCTCTATATTTGTTTCATAAGCGCAATGTAGCGTAATAACGATTACTTGGCACTATTCACTTCTTTATTTCAATTTTCGTTGATACGCGTTTGCACACACGTTTCGGGCATCATTTGCCCCTCTTCAGTCAACTAAAATATATATAAAACTATTTTTACATGCACAACAACCCGACACATAAATCCAAAAATACGGATTATACAAGTAGTTCATGATGTACAGTACCTTAAAAATATAAATGCCATCTTTAGATGTATATTATCACAAGCGGGAACCATACAATATACATTGGATTACCTGGTGTTTCAATTTAAGAAAAGGTTGTTTTACCATAAGACTACTACTCAAAAAACCAAATTGACAAATTCTGCTCAAGACATACCTCAAATACTAGGCCAAAAACTTAATTTTAATTGGTATACACAAGACTTATTTATAACATTTTTGACTTTCACGACCAGGTTTTTTTGTGAAAATAATTCCAGTGAATTGATTAAAATAAACTATTCTATATTGCTGTATCTATAAAAATTAATAATGTTTTAGTTTAAAAAGAGAATAGTCGATATAGCGAAATAACCCTATACAGTACTTAGCTTAATATCAATTAGTATAACATAAATCAATCAAATCGAATAAAAAATATATCGTAATTAATCTCAAATACGTGGAGCAGAATTTTGAGAGAAATAACTATAAATTGAAATAATATACATAAAAGAACATTGCTTTTGCGATAGATATAAAGAAATTTAGATTATAAAACATGTAAAGAAAAAAAAAATTAAATTTTGGCGATGTTTCATATGCATCTAATCCGATTTTTAAAAATAATAACCTGGAAATTTATGGTTACAAAAATATATTAACTTATTATACTTTTTGCAAATATACAACTTATATAAAGAAATTGCATAATTCTTTACACTAATATCATTCCTCTATTCCAAACAGAATTAAAATATATTTAACTCTTTTAATTTGGCTCATTTACACCGTTATTACATAAGAGTTTAAAACTTTTTGTAGAAGCTTTATTTAAAGATATAACGAACGTTGCTTTGGCTATTGTTCAACCGATTTGCATTATTTATTAATATGACAGTTAAAATAATCTTCATTTTCATTTAATTTTTATTAATTTAATTTAAAAATACTATTACAAAATAAGTTTATCACTTTTTTTGATGATATCATACATAGTCATTCTTTCTCTATATAATGTAATTACTTTATTATTATTTTTTTATAACTATTTTTTATTAAAGAGAAGAATTATTTTTTTAAATTTAAATTGTAAACACATGTTCCAAATCTTTCTTCAGTTTTTAGTTGTTTAAGTATTTAAAATTAGACTAAAAGAGATTATATGACCGAGAGTTTCCTTTAAACATAACTAGTTTTTATTAGAATTTTAATATTTATCTTTTATTGGCATATTACGAAACATAATAAATCATCCAGAAATTCTCCAGTGGCTACAAAAGGTCTTGATTTTCTTCAGATATATATATAATTGGGATACAATTCACGAATAATTCTCAAATTATATCATTTATAAAAGAATTCAATTAATACTATTATTTTGTAATACTATAGTAGTTATAGATAGAAAGAACAAACAAGACCTCTCAGACAGCTACTTGTAAATACGACAAACCTTGTAAAGTTGCCAAAGTACATGGAAATAGCAAGGCTAGAAGGGTTTCGCGATTAAAATTTTCGTGTATATTTAAACTTTCTTGCTAATTGATGTGAAGAGAGTGTTGGCTTTTGATATTTAAGGAAAGACATTACGGAACTGAATTAATAAATATTCATATTAATTTTTTAAGAAGAATTAAACAATGTAATTCTGGAAAAGTATAATTAATTGAACTTATCGTGCAGTTTAAAAGTGAAAGCAAATCTTGTTATTTAACAATTTTATCTGGCTGCTTACAATAAAATAATATATTAAAGAAATATAGAATAAGAAAATACGTATAGAATAAGAAAAATACGTATATATGTTTCTTTAATAATCCAATTTATTTTAAACAATTAGATAATGTTAATACATATAAAATAAAAATTGCAGAAAAATGTTATTTTACTAAAATTATATTGGGCTTACATACGGCGCGCTTTAAAAATTAGCTAAACTTTGCATAAGAAGCGTGCATGTGTACATATACTGTACATATTGTATATAAAATATTATATTATAAAATATATATATATATATATATATATACATANATATATATATATATATGAACATCTTTCAAACTAATGTAAGTGAATGTATTATTCTGTATATAGCCTAAATACTGTATGCTACTATAAAACTGTAAAATAATTCTTTATATAACTAAGAAATGTGTTAAATATTCCAAATTAAAGCTAAAATTACCAAAATTTAAGGACGAATTTAATATTTAGAAAAAACATCGTGCAGATTTTCCTTCAACAGGTTTTCCAATAAGTTTATATTATGAATATATACAGAACATTTGTATATGTCTATTAAAATTTATAAAGTATTACTTAACAATTAGAAATATATAAAATTTATATATATTAAATAAGATTTTAGATAAATTTCTATTAAAAACATGTTCTCATATTTTTTTATGTCACGTGCATAGTATAAGAAAAAAATGAAACTTACCTAAATCATCCATCATAGTAAAATTGGAATTTTTTCTTGCAGCAAGTATAATTTAAAAATTTTAAGTCGTTTATCTGGAGTATGAAATAAACTTAAAGAGTTTTGTGTTATTTCAACGCTATTCATTCATTCGGCATTTCCACTTTCAACCACGTGATCAATTGTTGCCGGAAGTGCGTCAGTGCCCTCTAGTAAATATTCTGATAACTTCACAGAAAACTTTCCAAATGGAAGTGTAAGTAGTTGTGTGGTTATTATTTCTAGCATTGATGGCAATAACAGGAAATATTATTTACCTTTTATAGACACGATAGAAAATTTATTATAAAATAAAAGTAAAATACGTAATTTATTTAAAGTGAATTTTACCACGTGCAAACAGTCGGTATATAACACGTAATTTTCAAAACCACGTGTAGCGTAATTGAAATTGATTATTTTAAATTAACAAAATAATTTGAAATTGCTTTTGAATTTTGCTAGAGAAATAGTCGACTTGGGATTATTTCGGATTAGAAAATAATGAAAATGCGATTCGTGGATGAAAGTATGACAAAATGTTCTCTTGCATAAGTATTATAAATGTGTAATACTTGTAGAAACATACTATATTGATTATATGACTGAAAATGGAAATAAAAAATGAATGAATAGTGTTGAAATAACACAAAACAGTTTATTTCACACAGATAAACAACTTCAATTGTAACTTATGCATGCATACTGTACATAACTGTAAAGTCATAAGTTACATATGATATAAGTATATATTTATAAGTTATTAACGTACACTAAATAATTTAATTCATAAATTATTAATTTGCCAATATTTAATTGTTAAAAGTAATAATTATATTTTATTCCACTAAATGTTTCACTTTCAACTATTGATTTCTGTAAATTGTTTAGAAGAAATATAAATGTATTTTAAGCTTTTATTAGTTGGCTATTTTAAAGTTTGTTACATATAACATCTATGTTTTTACATTTTCTATATCTTTCTCATAAATTATTTATAAATTGGCATATTCTTTAGTAAAATGTTCATATATAGTTTGTTTATTCAGTTTTCTAATGAAAAACAACTTTATTTTCGTGTTTTCAAATCTGAAGTTTTCTATAATTTTAATTGTTGTATTTTTTCTTCACATTTAGATTTATTATCTTTTAAATTATTAAAAAAAAGTCTGAATTTGAAAGTGAATGACATGATAGAATAGAATATAGCTCCATTTATTATTTTAATAATCCACGGTTGTGAAAATACTGTGGATTATTAAAGTAATAAATGAAACTATTTGGCATCAGAAAACATAATAGAACAAGCTACTGTATGTGGAAATAGTTTATTGAAAAATTTGTCAATTTAAGGATAATTTATTAAAACAAGACTAGATTTTTGTCATTAATAATACTTAAACCATGAAACACAAACTTAGTAATAGTTAAATCACAAAAGTTTCATTACAAAAATAACTTAGAATGATTAATTCTGAAACATTCAATAACATGGAATGTTTCAAATGACTTAGCAAAAATTCTCATAGCATACAGGATATTACAAGTTACAAATGTAATTTAATTAGATTTATTGTTTCACAATTTTTGTTTTAGGAAATTTTGAAAGATTATTTACCATCTGAAGACTGCTTTAAAACATTTAAACAATAATAGATTAAACATAATTATAATTTGAAATATTTACAGAATAATTTTCTGAAATTTTTCTGATCAAACTGCTTCACTTGGAAAGTTATTCTTTATCATCTATTAAATGCAAAACATAATTTTATTAAAAGCCATATTATAGCAGGGTTATGGTTACAATCTAAAAATTGGTATTACATTGATTGATAAATTTTTATATAGACCAGTGTTTCTCAACGGGGGCGATATCGCCCCCATGTGGGCGTTTTTCCATGTCGAGGGGGCGATTAGTAACAATTTATATTTTGGGGCGAAAAACAATTTTCTGGGCGATATAGTAAAACATTATATTAAGAATAATTAGATATTTTATTCGTTATATCGTACAATAATTAAACAAATAACATTATACTAGTCACTAGTCTATTCAATGCAGTACAAATTTGGCGTTAGCCTTGGCCCACGATATCGGAATTTTGAAGTGAAGGGAGCGATACTATGTAACGGTTTTATTGAAGGGGGCGACGATTCGTTAGAGGTTGAGAAACACTGATATAGACTATGATGCCTGAAATATTGTCCTAAAGATAATAAGCATCTTTGTCTTGCAGTTATGTTTCATTTGCACAAAGCATCAAAATGCTTATCATAAATACTATTAAATAAAATATGCTTAATGGCACAAGTAAACTAACTGCAAATGAATGTAAATTATTATTTTTAAGTTTAAAAACAACACATTTTCAATATTCTACATAATATATATCATTGATTTTTAATGAAATTTCCTTTTTTGCATTGAACATATCATGATGATTTAATTTTTCAAGAAAACCAGATTGAATAGATAAATTTAAAACTTAGAAGTTATAATATCATAACCATTATGTTTAGTCTATTTTTATTATCACATTATAAATCTACAGCTTTCATATGATAAATATCTTTAAAAGAATTTTATAAAATAAACATTGTGAGAAAATGTAGTTATCTTTAAGTTGCATATATAATATGATAATGATGATTATAGATTTTTTAAATATTGGAATTTATTTTTGATTATAGCTACAATATATGAGAAAAAAATATCATATTTATTTTAAATACATTTAATTACATAAATGTATTTAATTTGTTGTAAATAATTATAGAATAATTTTTAGATTTTAATGTTGTTATATGACTTCACTTAGTCTGTAAAATGGAATCCTGTATTAATATGTATAAAATATCTAATTAAGTATCAGTTTTATCTTGTAATATTTTTTTTAATCAATAATTTACAATTATTTTCTAATATTTGACAATCAAAATTCAAAATAAGAAAACACTCAGATGTTCATTGTCTCAAATTTACCTTCAATATAAATTTTCATCCAATCAAATTTAATGAAGATAATTTTTTCTAGCATTTATTTGTTATAAATATAATACAAGAGACAGTCAAAAAGTTCCCAAAATTCTGAGCCTGCACTGTAGTGGCATGAGATATGGCAATGCAGACCTAATCACCTTCAATGCAGGACCCTCACTCATAGACACTTGTTCCATCGATTTTGCCACAGTTGAAAGCAGGTGTGGAATGCTTCCTTTGGAATCTTCTGGAGTTGGGCCATTGTATTCAATATGATGTTCTCCCTGCTTGCAAAAAACATCCCTTTGAGGCCCATTTTGAGAGTAGAGAACAGCCAAAAGTCACTGGGAGCAAGATCTGGAGAGTAAGATAACTGGATGATGACAGGAATGCTTTTGTCGGTGAGGAATTGCTGCAGAGCAAGTGAAGTGTGACTCAGTGCATGATGGAGAAACCACTGTCCACACCACTAGTTGGGCCTCTTCCTCATAAACTTGCTGCAGGGCTGATAACATCTCTGCAACAGTTTTCCCCAATTTGCACATGAACTTGATATTTGCACCAGGGCTGTGGAGTCGGAGTCAGAGTTCGGAGGAATTTCTGGCCAGAGGAGTCAGAGTTGGGAAAAATATGTCAACTCTGACTCCAACTTTGGCATTTCTCTCTTTTTGTTTTCCACAGAAAAATTAAAACATAAAAATAGCTGTGAAAAATTTCACCCCCAATACAATTTTATAGTAAAAATATTGGAATAATATGAAATAATTTAAAATAAATATATCATTAGAGATGCTTTATTTGTCATTTTATTGCATTAAAAACAAGTTGTAACGAGGCACTGGGATCTCCAAAATTTACAACTATTTGACCTTTAGCCATCTGCTCAGTGGACTTTCGTGAGACATCCTTATGTAGACTTTGAGGGGAATCGGTGTTCTAGTAAGATGTGCAGTAGTTCCAGGAATAATCTCAATTAGAACGTGCTTTTTGGTCATTACTACTATCTCTTTGGGGAGACCGACTTCCTTGTCCGATTCAGGATTAATTCAGGATTCGTAATTGTGTCCTTTTCGTCCAACCTGGGTTAACTCAGAAAAAGTACTTAAAGGGTTTTTACTTTGATTCTCAAGTTCAGATTATTTTACTTGTGACTTGTAAGTATGAATTATATTTATGTACATATTATTTTTAAGAGTTATATCTAATTTTATAAACTTAAATATTGTTAGATACCTAATTACCCTTTCACAATTTCACAATATAAAAGAAAGTGTTTTCAAATTCAAAGTCTGCAGTTTTTGAATATTATACTCTTACAATGGATGGAAAATATTATCATTGTAAATGCATTGTAGAAAATGAAGATGGTAAACATGTATGTGAAGCAAAAATTAGCACTTTTGCTAGATCTGAAAAAAAAATGCACCTACAAGAGCAGGTAATCTAAAAAAACATTTGCAGTGTCTACATCCTAAAATTCTACAAGAAGTAAATGAAAAAGACAACAGTAGAAACACTTCATCTATTTTAAAATTAGAAAATATCCAAAAATTTAGTTCAGTACAAACACAAGTATGCAAATTCTTTGCTTCGGATAAAGTTACAGTAACAATGATGAGTGTAAAATTTAAAAATCTCATAATTGAAATGGTGGTGCAAGATAGTGTGTCTTTAATCTTTTTTCACAACTGGCCTTTTTAGGCTTAAATGGCAAAATGGCAAAAAAACTTGAGTTTCACTAGATAGAGAAAACATCAGAAGGCTTATAATTGAAGAGGCTGATTTGAAAAAAGATGAACTCTGAAAAAGACTGAAGGATCACTTTATATTTATTAAAATGGATGCATGCACTCGTCATCGAGTGAATTATTTTGCAATTAATGTTCGATTTATTGATGAGAATAATACAATTGTTACGAAGACATTAGTAGTAAAAGACACTATGGCTCATCACATAGGAGAGTATCTGCAGAAGTTGGTTCAAGAGTTATTAGAAGATTTTAAAATTAAAAAGGAGCATATTTTGTGTATTGTAACAGATAGTGCTTCAAATATGTTAAAAATAACTGAGAAAATGAATCAAGATAATGAAATTGTATTAGAAGACATTGATGAAATATTCGCCATTGACACACAAATCGAGCCTATAATAGAAAAAGAGGAATATTTAGATGATATTGTGGAGGAAGCATCCAATATGTTTCAAATCCAACATATGTGATGTGCTGTTCACAAGCTGCAATTAGCAATAAGAGATGGATTAAAAGACTCTCAGGTAGCTAAAATCATTAGAAAATTAAGACAGGTAGCTACTGTAGCTAGAATCCCTAATATAGATGCTATTCTGAGAAGGTGTGCTAGAAAAGGAATTATTTTAGATCAATCTACTCACTGGGAAAACACTTATTTAATGGTTAAGCAGTTGCTTGAATTGAAAACCTTCCTTGAAGACCTTGATAATCCAAGTGTTTTATTAACTGAAAACCAATAGAAACAAACAGAAAATTTAGAGAGTGTCTTATCTTACCCTTACACTGTCATCCTAAAGTTACAAGCTGAAGATTTGACACCTGGAAATTTATTCTTACAGTAGAAAACTAGAAAACTTTGATGCATCAGCTCAACAAAACTGGAGGAATTGTTGCTAATGCAATTTTGTCTTCAATGAGAAAAAGAGAGATTCAGTTGTTAGACAATAAAATCTTGTTAGCTGCTATTTACATTGATCCAAAGAATCAAATTTTACTAAATGACAATCAAATTGCCTCAGGGAAAGAAAAGCTTTGTGAAATAGCTATTCACTTGAAAAGTTGCAATTACCTTACATCTATGAATTAAAAGATGAAAATAAAAATAATGAATGTAATGACAACTTGGAATCATCATCTCCAAAAAAAGAGCTTGATTTCGAAGCATATTTGGATAGTTTAGAACGTCTCAAAGTGAAACGAAGATGTTTAACAAATCAAGAAACTAAACCGGCAGAAATTGAAAAAATAAAATTTGAACAAAATTTTTTAAATGGGTTAATTGAAATAGAAAAGTATGACCATTTATCAAAATTGAACGGGGAAGAAGCCATTTCAATTTATCCAGAAATTATTTACGATGCAGCTATATCTGTCGCAGCAATGCCCCCAACACAAGTCAGTGTGGAAAGATTATTTTTAGCTTTGAAAATAATTAAAGCTGATATAAGGGCATCTATGAAGGAGGATTTAATTGAAGCTATTTTGTTTCTTAGAACCCATTTTATAAAATTCAAAATTATAAATGTAATTTCATTTTTTTTTATTTTTATTTAAATGAAAATATAAAATAAATTTTCTTATTAATTTTTTAAAATGTTTTATATTTTGTTATAATTCATTTATTTTAAATACAAAATGTAGCAATTTAATTTATTAAATATGTAGTTTTCTTTGTAGTATTTGTGTTTAGTAGTAAAATTATTTTGACCCAATTGAACTTGAATATTTTTGAATCATTCTTTTATTATCTCTGCTCTAAATAAGTACTCTATTTTTTTGAATAGGCCAGACTAATTGATCAAATTATATATTTTTCTTTTCTGAACAAGGGGCTGAAGTAACTAGATCTCACACTTTTTAGTTGGACTAACTTTTCTGCAAGGATGAAATTGAAGTGCATATGCTGTAGAATAAAGATATGTAAATGTAGAATTTTATTGCCCCCTTTCTCCTCTTATTAAAACAATTATTAAAAAATGTTTGTTAAAAATTTTTTTATACAAATAAATATTAATGTAAGTTAAATATTAAAAATACTAACTATAAAAGTATTTGGGTAAATGTCCTGGCTCTGTTCAGAGTAGAGTATCTCCCTTATGAGTGTTTCTGCCCCTATATAACTGCTCGAACTGGGACATTGAGCCGAATGATAAGCAGTCACGCCCAACAAAGATGCTACAGTAACAACTGTAGCATCTTAGTTTGCATGAGCATTATCACACTGTGAATAGACATGCTGAGCTTCCGGCCACAGCAATGCATAACCTTATTTTATATCACATTTTCTAATTGTAGATAAATTCTGGGAACTTTTAAATGCCCCTTGTATAATATATATACATTTTCTACTATTTATAGTATATGTTTTTATACTTTCAAAAATTTCTTTTGTATTAAAGTTTGTGAAATCTTATTTTTTTATAGAATTAAAGAAAGATCTGCAATATTAAGTAATTATGAGGTAAGCAGTATATATATATATATATATATAATTTTTACAAAATATGTCATATACACTTTTGCTGATCTGAACTAATTATTGAACAGGGTTGTTCAGGTTTGCAGGATTATGTATAAAGAAAAGGAGATAGAAAGTACTACAGACAAATACATATACAGTGGGTGATTGGTTAATGAACATAATCCATTTCAAGACCATGTTGGCTACATCCAAATTGTTTGTTAATCAATTATTGATTTAACGTAGATTTTTATAAGAATTTGATTAATTTGTTCTGGAGATCCCAAAAAATAAATTAAAAATTATATACTTTCTTAGTACATTTATTTATATGTGATAATGATAATGATAATACATACACGATCTTGCATTTTTATCAGTCATTTTTTTTTCATTTGTGGGGCTGTAAAAAATCTATCCAATATCAAATGCTTTTCTCTCTTCTTCAGGATTTTTTTGAAGTAATTAATAGCATTGTTGTTATAGAGATCCACAAGCCTATTAACCTCAACCTGGTTTAGATACCATTCTAAGACCATTGTTCTGACATCCTCCCACTTCAAAGGATCTTTAATAGCAGATGTCAGCATTGGTCTTCTTTCATCCTCATCTTTTTCAGAATAAAACACATCTCATTGAATTTCTTGATGTTTTTCATTCAAGAGTTCTTGGAGTTCTTCTGTCATCAGATCAGTTTCAGGTTCCATTATGAGTTCTTCAATGTCATCTTCATTCACCACCAATTTGAGATCTCTAGTAGTTGTCACAATTTCATTCATAATTTTAGGGATATCATCTCTGTCTCCCTGAATGCAGAAGGGACACAGCTTTCACCAAGCAGTATTCAACTGTTGTTGAGTGACTTTTGCCCATGCCTTTTGAATGAGCCTTTTGAATAGCTTCAAGAATATCAAATTTTTCTTAACAAAATGTTTTTAATGTCATCACTGAGGAGAACTGACATGCTTCAAAATGCCAACAAAACAGTGTGCGATTGTACCGTTTCTTGAAATTCGCAATAACATCCTGATCCATTGGCTGAATCAACAAAGTGATATTCTGAGGCAGAAACAGAACTATCAGCCAGGGAAAATCTTTCAGCAAATTATCTTCAAGGTCTTTTGGGTATCCTGGTGCATTGTTCTATAGCAATAGTGCTTTCAATGGCAATTCATTGGTCTGATGGTAATCCTTGATACTTGGAGCACAAACTTCAAACAGCCATTCTTTGAAAAGAGCCTGCATGACCCATGCCCTTTTATTTGATCTCCATGTCCTTTTATTTGATCTCCATGTCACTGGCAGTCTTTATTTAATTATGGAATTTTTTTGAATGCTCTAGGGTTCTCAGAGTGATAGACAAGAAGCGGGATAAGTCAGTGGCGTAGCATAGTGGGTGCGGCGTGCGGCACTTTTTAGTGGGCGGCAAAATTACCTTTTAGGGGGCAGCAAAATTTCACAATAAATAATAATATCTTGTAAAAATTTGAACCATTCTAATCTATACTTGCGTCATGCCTACGATAGTGCTATTGTCCGGACAGTCCGGGAATCGGCTCACCGTCCAGGTGAACTAGTAATTTCATCCAAGGATATCCTGTGCAACCCATTGCATTGCCTTTTTTTTTTTTTTTTTTTTTTACAATTCATATACACCACCAATATCCAATACAGCTATTTTAAACAGGTCGCTGCACTAGAACAGAATTTTTCATTGCTTGTTCTGTGACAAAACTGAATTTTAGTCTTTTAAATTGAGATACCTAAATAAGGGGGGTGAAATTTTCCTCTGCCCCAGGCGGCTGACACCCACGCTACGCCACTGGGATAAGCTTCATATTACCACTAGCATTAGCTTTCAAAAGTACTGTCAATTGGTGTTGCATGAGAAAAATATGCCTAGGAATATTTCTCTCATCTCTTGTGATGTGGGTACAGTTTGGCATGTGCTTCAAAAATTTCTCTAGCTTTCTCTTGAATGATAGTCATACTAGTTACATCTTTTTTTATTTCTCTTTCTTTTATACAAATTAAAAGCAATCTTTGTTTCTCAGATGTGGTTTTTGTTATTTCTTTAGCTGCTTGAGATTTCTTGATTATATCTTTCTTTGCTAAGATTGTGCCTATTGTAGACCTATTTAAGCCATACTGCCTAGCAACATCAGACATCTGCCCACTCTCTACCTTGGTTATTATCTCTTGCTTGGTTTCTATGATGAGCACAGTTCTTGACACTCCACTCTTTTTAGACTTCATAATATTAGTTTCTTTTTTAAATAAAAAGTTCAGAAAAGTACTTACGAAATTCAGAGAATAGAAATCAAATAGTGCACAAAAAATTATGTAAATGTGAAGCCTGGATGGAATTTGAAGTTTGGTGTTAAATCATCAATGAATATCTGATGGAACAGTTAAACTCTCACCTTTCAAAAATAAAAACTGATGCAAAGCTTGTTAAGTTTAACTAATAAAAACTGATGCAAAACTTGTTAAGTTTTGCATCAGTTTTTATCAGTTAATCTTGCGAAGACTATAAAAAATTCTTTCCGTCAGAAAGGTAAAGAAAAGACTGGAATTACAAGGAAGAGTTTCAAAGTTCAGAGGAATAATAATCAATTGGTATTGGGTTGAGCATCAATGTCCATGTTTCCCATGCTTCAAAAGGTTTTGAATTGTCACCAGGAGACAAGGAAAGACCAATCAGTATTCATTATTTTACATTGCTGCTTCTTGTGTTTGTTCTGAGAGGTGTTCATTATCTGAATATGTGTTTGTTGTTCGAACATAAAAATTCTTCATGAAAGTATTCATTGTCTGATTTGTTCACAGTTCAAACTGTTACTGATCACTTACTGTATTTTTAAAAATTGTTTATACTATATTTATACTAAATATAAATATATATATATATATATTTATGTTATATAATAATTTATAATTTCTCTGTTTTTACTGGAAAATTTAATGGTAAAATGAACAAAATTGGTTCAGATTAGTGAGCATGCACAATATAAAAGTTGAAGACATTACTACCATCAATTTTTATAAATATCTATCTAACATATTTTTTATGATTTTCTAACCTCTTATACTTTAAAATTACTATTAATATTTTCTCAATATGTAATTGGTTACAAACACCATTATTTTCTAGGAATTATCATATTCACAGAGTCCAAAAATACTAGCCAATTAACAACTTTATTTCACTCAGATGCATTTCAGAAATTACATTTCCCTCTTCAGTGGGTTTTCTTTTATACAAGCCAAATGAGGCACAAACCAAACACTTTTTTGATACTCTCTCACTATTTTTGAATTTTTCCATCGTTTTGACTACTTCCATATTAAAAACATTTTTTTCTATTTTGAAAACATAATTCTTTGTTCTTTTTGGTAGCTATGCTTCATTATTTTCACTTCCTCTAGAAATATAGCCTGTATATCTCAAGAATATTTCTAGAGGAGTGGCTATCAACAGCAGGGACATGGCTCCTATGTTGCATGCCTGGAGGACAGTATTCAAGTGCACTTAACAACCATGTAATGTTTAGTAAACAGTTCAGTCTTAATATATATATTATGTTCATATCTTATCATTATATATCAGCATTCCAGTTGTTTTGGAGTATATTTTATTCCAACTTTTGTTATTTATAAGCATTTAACTTTTTGTATGTTGTTTTTTCTTTTGTAATTGTTTTTATTAACTTATTACTGCAATTCTGCACATGCGACATTTGTACACAACAATGTTGTTGTTGGAGTGAGGCGAAGCCGAGTGATAACTAACACTTGACTTTATGATTTCTTTCAACATTATAACTCTAGAATGAGTTGTCCGATCTTGATGAAATTTTATAGGACAACTCATCATCACTCAAGGATGAACTGATTAAAATTTTAACTCTCAAAAATGATCAATTTTTGTAGAACTGGAACTAGGGGTCAATACAAAGGTCGCATTTTTGTTCAGTATGGATCATTTTTGAGAGTTGAAATTTTAATCAGTTCATCCTTGAGTGATGATGAGTTGTCCTATAAAATTTCATCAAGATCGGACAACTCATTCTAGAGTTATAATGTTGACAAGGAATGCATGAAGTCAAGTGTTAGTCACTTCCTGCATGCACATGTAGAAGCGTCATCTAGTGACAAGCATTAAAACGGTAATTTTGAAAGGTAAATGTTATTGCTAAATAGATACACAACAAATATAAAGAATTTTTATAGAATAATAAGTTAAAAAAGTTTTGTTTTTAAAATGATCCAACATGCTGATGAAAATGTTCAGTTCGGCAGAGTATAGTTGAAAAATATCAGGATCGACCAGAAGACTTTTTACCACAGTTGTCATTGATTCATTTTGCAAAGAGGTGGTATAAAAGAGGTGAAAGCCCATTTGTCGTAAGAAAGATGCAGTTGTTAGAATTTTTCCTTGAATCAAGCTTTGATATAGATTCTGACAAACAAGAGCAGTTTTACAAACTCCGATGCATTCTCTACATTCCATTCTATGGTGAGTTCTGCAGTATTCTTGATAGAATTGGGTGTGATATATGATTTGAGGCATATGAGAGGAGTGCCATTGGTGCGGTAGAACAATTACAGTTTCCACAGCCAGAAGAAGGCTTCCTTCCTGAGCAGATTAATGAAGACAACATACAGGATCCATTTATGATTGCTGCTGGCTTCAGAAGTACTGCTGTCGACACAACCTTAGGCCATAGATTGATGGATTTATCACATGATTGGAATTTCATGCCCTCTTTTATTCCGACTATGAATGATGTTTCTGAGCCCTTGAAGACATATAAGAATGCTCGAAGAAACCATGAAACACAGCTGACTGTCCCCAAGTTAACTTTTCATCTGACCAACATTTAGTTTTAGATATTGTTGATAAGCAAATATAGTCTCTAACCCTTTGGTCTATTTGTTGTGAGAAGAGATTGGTTATTCAAGGTAAGGCACACAAGGAACTATACGCTACATTATATATGCTCCTAATGCTCGCCCTCCAGCTCTTCCTCTGTTTATTTTAGTGGAATTTGATAGCTATCAGGGATCTTTCATCTATGGTAATCTGTTTCCAATAATCCCCATAACACGCTCTTCAAACGATGGCAGTATATTGAGATCTCTTAGACAGTTTTCCCTTACTTTAGCATACTCTATGACAATACATAAATCACAGAGATTAACTCTTCCAAAAATCAAAATAGATATAGGTAAAAAAAGAGACAGCTATTGGTCTTACCTATGTGCATTGAGTGAAGTGAAAAAAATAACTGACATAGTATTTTTAAAGAGTTACAATAAAGATTACTATGAGTCAATCTGTAAGCCCATAGTGATAGACCCCATGTTTCTTTATGCAGCAAAAGTGTAGTGAAATGATGTCACAAGCAGTGTTGGCCAATTAGAAACCAGTTTCAGTGTGTTCGCTGTAAAGCGAACACACTCGCTGTAAAGCGAGCACTACATAAAGAAACGCTGGGAGACAGAATTTCATGAGACGTTGCCATAGCAATTAATTAATGGCTTATTCTGACCTAATATTTGTACCTTTAAATGGTCCAATAGAAATCAAATATATTGATGAGAACGAATGATTCTTTGTCTCTTTTTACTCTCATAATCTAGAAAATGTAGATGTGAGCAGCCTCGCTCCAACTACATACTGATACAGCATTACATAATTAGTTTAAATTTACCTATTCAAAACTCGTGTCATCTTTAATTCATTATTCTATACTTCACAACTGGGTGCATAGGTAGACACTGGACATTTTTAACATCACTCTTTATTCAGGAATATTTTACATGTTGATATGTGTTTTGGGCAAATGTGCCACTTCCATTGGCTACATAATAGAATATGAACATGTATTTTCCATATTACAAAATTTTTTATATAGTGGTAAATTACAACATATGACAAGGGTCTTTATCTTTAAGACATTTAGCTAATATAGAGGTGCACATATTTTTTAAAAATACATATATTTACTGTTAAAATTTTTCTACTTAGTGTACTGAATGGCATTTAGCCTTCACTGGTGATGTTGGTTTTCACCAGGTTTTTCTTAATCTCATTCTCATATTTAAAAATTCTTTATTTTGTTTTTTAAAACTTTTATATAATAAACTATTCTTTTTTATATTTATATACATTGGTGTGCAAAACTTAAGCAATGATATAATTTTTAAGCAGACAGCCATGAAAGTGTAGAAAAGGGCTTATTGCAACAGTACAATGAACACCTAATTCAGTAGAAAGATGATTTGTATACAGGAAATTGACATCACAGGTGAGTGAGGGCATGCAAAACATGTGCAATCAGCACACGCAGTGCAAGACTACAATAAGAAGGTGGTTTTGATTCCATACTGTATGCATTCTATTCATCTTTGTGCTACTATACTCTCTTCATCCTTTAAGTACAAAATACTGTGTCTATATTCTGAATTTCACATCTCCCAGGTGATTTCTTGCAGTGTTAAAGCAAAAAAACAATCATTACTTAAATTTTGCATACCAATGTATGTTATACTTTTTACATAAATTTATATTATTACATTTTTCACCGAATTTTCGCGTTTTTCTTTTAGCTATAATCTAATTTGCATAAACCTTAACGTCCAGTCCCGAGTTAACTCGGGCACGTTGCATAGCGTTACAGACAATGCGGTCCTTTCGACTCCACTTTTTTGATTTTTGGAATGTTTTTAAGTCTCCAAATTTTTTCAAAAATTTTTACCCGCGCATAAAATTTTATCGCGATTTTAATCAACCTTTAATGATGCGCGATTAACGCTTAATTGTTTTTAATGCGATTTTTTTTTATCAAAATTAATGAATCGTTCTANTATTATATTGTATTAATAAACAAAATTATTTGCTTATTTTTCACTTATGTAGAACCTAACCCTATACCTCACTGTAAATATGGGTTTGTTTTACGCCAATTTGATTTGCGCCGGCTTTTGTAGGAACGGAACTGCGGCGTAAACCGAGGGCTACCTGTATTCCTATGTCTTCTATCACTGCTAACAGTATGACTTTTTCCAAAGCCAAGTTAGACATTATTAGTGACAGCATGTTTCCCTCTTTTAGTCCTGTCTTTATGCTGAAACTTTCAGATAATGAACCTATTGCTTTATTTTTTATATTCCACATTATTCATGCACATTTTGGTAAGATTGATTAATTTTGGAGATGCCAAATTTTGCCATAATATTGTACAGGTTATCACTATGTAAGCTGTCATGCTTTATGGAAATCAAGGTATTTTTGGTATGCTTCTTGTTTAGTTTCATAATTTTTTTCTAGGATTTATTTTAGTATATGAATCTGGTAATAGTTGATATAAGACCAAATAGAATGCTTGGATGTGAATTTACAGGATTGGATCATCTGCCACCTTTGGTTCAGTTGGAGCTTTCCACTTTTTTGTTTAAAAAGAAAGGAGGGTGTCTGCCTTGCCTTGCTTTAGGTTTTCATTCTGGCAGAACATGACAGTAAAGTTGTAACACTGGTATAACTCTTTTTATAATAGAATAGATATTTTTCCAGTCAGGATCAATGTTTCTGAAGATTCCTATAAGTTCCAATCAGAATTTCTGTAAAACATAAAATAAGATTTTTGAAATATGAACCCCTTTATTACTTGACATAGAAATAGCTTCTATTTTCTTGTATCAGTTAAGTGTGTCAAAAAATCAAATTAACAAACTATTAATTCTTTATTGTTTTTTGGCTAAACTACTGAAATTACTGATTATCATTATTTGTATTTAATATAGTAAAAAATTTGACTATGTTGATAATTTTAAAGTTTCAAACTTAAAAAATGAATTAAAAAAATGGCTTAAAGTAATTTATTTTAATTTTTTTGATTTTATATTTTTAGACAATCCAATATCTAGAACAAACATCATGTACACATCAAAATGAAGAAGTTATTGGTGAATTTTTAAAGGCACTTCAACCTTTTAATTTAACCAAGTAAAATTGCCTTCAAATTTTAATAAGACTAGATAGAAAATAATTTTTCTTATTTGTTAAATTTTTATTTTTAGAGTGGAAAAATTGCAGTTATTGAATCACAGACCTGCAACACTAGTAGAAATACAATTAGTAGTCCCTCTTAAATGCCATGTCCTCATTCGAATGTTTTTTAATATCAGGTTTAGCTTCTTGACTCATTGGTAAACATTTAGTCTTTTCGAGAATGAGATTAAGAAAAACCTGGTGAAAACCAATATCACCAGTGAAGGTTGCTGCCATTCAGTGCACTAAGTAGAAAAATTTTAACAGTAAATATATGTATTTTTAAAAAGTATGTGCACCTCTATACTAAATGTCTTAAACATAAAGATATGTTGTAAATTATAGAAAATTTGTAATATGAAAAATACACATTCAAATTTTATTCTGTAACTGACAGATGAGGGGTGTATGTCCAAAATGTGTATTGGCATGTAAGATATTCCTGAATAAAGAATGATGTTAAAGATGCCCAGTGTCTGCCTATGCACACAGTTGTGAAATATAGAGTAGTTATTTAAATTCTGTTTTTGTTCAATTTGCATTCTACCAGTAGAACCTGAAGATGGCTTTTGTAAAGATTGAAAATGTTTGTTCTTCAATAAATGTTTTTCTCACTGGCTTTTAGGTTTGAAAGTGTTGTTATTTTAAAACTGTTGTATGTATATTAGCTGTATAATAAATGATGTAAAGATTGTTTTTATATTTGATTAAATATAAAAACAGATGTAAAAATTATTACTAAGATGTAAAAAGAGATTTAAAAATGCTACCATATGAATCTTTATATTTGAAATTTTTTAATCCAAAAGGCCATGGCCATTTGTCTTAACTAAGATAGCATTAGTCCACAATACTTTGGATAATCATGTATTTAAAATATTAGGAAAAGAATTATATATTTTGTACATCAGTTATATGTTATAAATAATGAAAGTTCTAAAATGTATCTTCATTAATACATTAAAATATATCCTTAAGACATTTTTTTATTTTATCTAAAGTTCACATTTAGTAAGTAGAATATTGTCATATATTTATACCAGTAATAATATCTATTTAATACTTGTCAGCTGTTGTAAATTATCATTATTATAAAAAATTATTACAAGTATTTATATGATTAAAATAAGTCATTCGTTAGATTTTTTTAATATTGAAATTTTTTATTATAAATTATATTCTTGATTTTCATTACAGTAAATTTATTTTTGATTTTATGAAAATATATAACAAATCTGAAAACTTTTTAATGTATTTTAAAATTTACATAGATTCTGATTGTCAGTTTCTAAAACAGCTAATATAATCTCAGAAATTGTACTAAAATAATTTATNTAGAAAATAATTTTTCTTATTTGTTAAATTTTTATTTTTAGAGTGGAAAAATTGCAGTTATTGAATCACAGACCTGCAACACTAGTAGAAATACAATTAGTAGGTATTTTGTTATATCTTAATTCCTACCTTAAATTTATTTTTGAATTAATTTTAAAACTTTTCTTAAAATTTTATTTATAATGTTTGATTTAATTACTTTTCAATCTAATATGTAATTTTTGTATTTTAGGTATATTCATTGTTAAAAAAGTTGCAAGAAAAAAGACATATGAAACATCAGAAAAATCTAGCAACAATTACATATGAGGTATTACAGTGACTTTTTTCCCTATATTTTGTTAATAATTCTTAGTAAAAGTTTTCATTTTAATTTGTTTTAGATAATTATAGAATTAATTTTTTCATTGACGTTTTGACACACAGGAGCTCAAAAATGAAAAAACATTTGCTCAATTATGTGTGGGCAGTTATTTTTCAATATATTTCAGAACTGGATGAATCAAAAATTTTGTAACTTTACAGGGTTATTTTTATATATGGGATGCTATTAAATTTTGGCCAAATCTCAAGTGGGATCAGACTTAATGAAAATTTTACTTATTATTGGCATTTACAATGTTTTAGAATCTCGCCTCTATCTTCAAAATTAAGCCTTTTGACTTTGTGTAATAATTAATTACGTAAAAATTATTTTTAATAAAATCTTGTAACAGGTGATGTCACATACAATTTTAATTTTGTGCTAATGTGTCTTAGTATTTTTAAAACTTAAATAACTTTTTAAGTAGAGAAATTTCTCATAATTCAATAGAAATTTTTTCTCTTCAACTTTAACTTTTACAGTAGAGCACCGATTATCCAAATCAATTGGGGACTGGGGTTGTTCGGAAAATCGATTTGTCAGATAACCGATTATGTACAAAAAAATATATTACCCTATCCCATGTTGAAATTCGTTCAAATCCTGGTGCATCCTTACATACCCTCTCATGGTTGCACCAGTGCTGCCAGCTAAAACACTCATACCAACAAAAATAATATTGGAGTAGCCCAAGACATAGCCAAAGATTGCAGTGCCACAGCACTAGCGGAAATTTAAATTTGCCAACTGGAAAGCTTTTGGTTGATCGATATTCAGATAATCGACGCTCTACTGTATTTATATCATAGTATAATTGAAAACTATTGAATTCCCTCATGACCTCTTAACCCTCTGTTTGAATGCCAGGAAAGTCAAACAAAAATCTTTGCCAGCATTTTTTATTCTTCTTGTAACTCATGTTATTAGTTGATTATTTTCAGTATTCTTGAATTTTTTTCATTTTGAAATTACTAACTAAAATACACAATTTACACGTTTCAAAATTTTTATTTAATTCATAATTGTCTTTTCCGTTTGTCATTTCTATATCAAATACTGGGCCAAAAGTTTTTCATAGTATGCTATTTTCAAACATATTTAATTTCTTTCTTTTTCATCTTTTTTTGTTATCATCCATGTTTCATTGCCATAAATAGGATAGGTCTTATCACATTATATATTCTTAATTTAGTTGACAAGTGCTTTGAGTTGAAAATCTGGTTTACAGCATATAAAACTCTGTTGGCTTTCTTGATTCAGACATGGATCTTATCTTCAAATCCATTTTTGTCACTATCAATCCCAGATAGGTAAAATTATTCTCCCTCTTAAATGCCATGTCCTCATTCGAATGTTTTTTAATATCAGGTTTAGCTTCTTGACTCATTGGTAAACATTTAGTCTTTTCTTCACTTGCCAGAAGCCTACCTTTGGTGCATTTTGCATTCACTTTTTTGTAATTGTAATTTTGTAAACATGTTCTTGTGTTACTCTTAATATCACAGTGTTATCTGCAAATGCTAGTTCTTGTACTCTCTTATTATTCACATATATAGGTAGCCCTCGGTTTACCCTGGCTCAATTTACTCCGATTCACAATAACGCCACTATGCAATTTGCCGTTTCATAGTGTAATTCCCCGATTTTCCCTATGCCAGACTGATTTTCATTTCAGTGTTGACATATTTACCGAGCCGCGACATTGTACATTCGTTAAAACAAAGATTTTTATTGAATATATTTATTTTTTCTGTTTAATATTATTGGGTATGTATACATTTGCATTAAATTAATATTAATACACTAAATGTTTAGGTACCCACAAGTCAAGTTATCAAACTTAATAGTTCAATAAATGTGTCCGAATCCATAGCACCAATGAATGTATCCCGTATCAATCCGTTCAGGAAAACATCTTACAACGCAGTAGCATTTCTGGCGCTTATAAACTATCGTTAGAGAGACAAATCTACTTCTTGTTGGCCAGATGATACTTTTTTATTAGCCAGACGATATCTATCTCTTCTTAGCCACCTTGAATATTCCCGCTCAAACTGACCTTATACATGCGCTACGGTGACCAGTGGTTGACCAATCAGTGTCTCTGCTTGTCCTTAGCTCTACGTTGGGTTAATGTATATCCTTTCAACTATGGAAAGTTTGACAGATGAACTTTGTGAGTTAGACAATGATTGGGAGCGAAGTACAAATGTAAAAAGAAGCATCATCACATCCATTCGACCATATTCCGAAATTCTCAATGAAAGAAAACAAAAATGTAAACAATTAAAGATGAATACTTTTTTCCAATAAATGTAAGAGATCTGAAACTAAAATTTTTTAATAAAAACATTTCACTTTATTTTATGATAAAATACATTTTAAAAATTGAAAATTTATATGTATTTTGTATTATATTGTATTAATAAACAAAATTATTTGCTTATTTTTCACTTATGTAGAACCTAACCCTATACCTCACTGTAAATATGGGTTTGTTTTACGCCAATTTGATTTGCGCCGGCTTTTGTAGGAACGGAACTGCGGCGTAAACCGAGGGCTACCTGTATTCCTATGTCTTCTATCACTGCTAACAGTATGACTTTTTCCAAAGCCAAGTTAGACATTATTAGTGACAGCATGTTTCCCTCTTTTAGTCCTGTCTTTATGCTGAAACTTTCAGATAATGAACCTATTGCTTTATTTTTTATATTCCACATTATTCATGCACATTTTGGTAAGATTGATTAATTTTGGAGATGCCAAATTTTGCCATAATATTGTACAGGTTATCACTATGTAAGCTGTCATGCTTTATGGAAATCAAGGTATTTTTGGTATGCTTCTTGTTTAGTTTCATAATTTTTTTCTAGGATTTATTTTAGTATATGAATCTGGTAATAGTTGATATAAGACCAAATAGAATGCTTGGATGTGAATTTACAGGATTGGATCATCTGCCACCTTTGGTTCAGTTGGAGCTTTCCACTTTTTTGTTTAAAAAGAAAGGAGGGTGTCTGCCTTGCCTTGCTTTAGGTTTTCATTCTGGCAGAACATGACAGTAAAGTTGTAACACTGGTATAACTCTTTTTATAATAGAATAGATATTTTTCCAGTCAGGATCAATGTTTCTGAAGATTCCTATAAGTTCCAATCAGAATTTCTGTAAAACATAAAATAAGATTTTTGAAATATGAACCCCTTTATTACTTGACATAGAAATAGCTTCTATTTTCTTGTATCAGTTAAGTGTGTCAAAAAATCAAATTAACAAACTATTAATTCTTTATTGTTTTTTGGCTAAACTACTGAAATTACTGATTATCATTATTTGTATTTAATATAGTAAAAAATTTGACTATGTTGATAATTTTAAAGTTTCAAACTTAAAAAATGAATTAAAAAAATGGCTTAAAGTAATTTATTTTAATTTTTTTGATTTTATATTTTTAGACAATCCAATATCTAGAACAAACATCATGTACACATCAAAATGAAGAAGTTATTGGTGAATTTTTAAAGGCACTTCAACCTTTTAATTTAACCAAGTAAAATTGCCTTCAAATTTTAATAAGACTAGATAGAAAATAATTTTTCTTATTTGTTAAATTTTTATTTTTAGAGTGGAAAAATTGCAGTTATTGAATCACAGACCTGCAACACTAGTAGAAATACAATTAGTAGGTATTTTGTTATATCTTAATTCCTACCTTAAATTTATTTTTGATTTTATGAAAATCTATAACAAATCTGAAAACTTTTTAATGTATTTTAAAATTTACATAGATTCTGATTGTCAGTTTCTAAAACAGCTAATATAATCTCAGAAATTGTACTAAAATAATTTATAGTTTTATCATGATAGCAATATCATATTTAGTCATACCCACTAGTGGTTGAGTGGATAAAACTACTAAACAGCCCATTGATGTTTGCACTTCAGCAGTTCTCACTGGTAACATTTGTCAGCACTAGCCATGTGGAATTTTGGGTTTTCTTCAATCTAAACTCTAAATAGGAACCAGTTCCCAGGAGGCATCACCTCTTGGCTGATTACACGTGTTGTGTTGTCATATACTATCAGTCCAATCCATATTTAGTCACTGAAAGTTTTGTAAGAATTGTTATTTGTATGTTTTTCTCTTTTAGATTATCACTTATCCTCATCTTCAAACTTTGAATTCTCCATTAGATTTTCTACTCTTTTCTGCTGTTTCAATTTAAAATTTCCATTATCATCTTATATTAAATTAGCAACATTTCTTTAAAAAGTTTAAATAGATAACTGCAATAGTTTATAAAAACAAAATGAATAAACTTGATAAAAGCAATTTTGTTTCCTCTCAATGATTATTTACTTTACTATTGCACTTTTAGAAATTGCTAGCAAAAACGTTTTCTTTTTAAGACAAATATTACTAATAAGTAATGCTATTATATATTTGATGATTACACTGAAATATTCAATTACAGTAATCATTAGTTGTCAGATATGATAGAGTATGGAACAGAGCCTGGCCTAGAGGTATTTTCACCCCTATGTATAGTTTTTTATTTTTAATAAGTATTAAATAAAAATAAATGATTTTGGGAACAAAATTTATTTATTAATTATTAAATAAAAAGTCACAGAATGCAGTAATAGTACAACAGTAGTAGGAACGTAAAACTACACATAATTACAAATAAAACAAATATGAACAAATAAAATCACAGCAACCTTAACAAAAGAAAAACAAATTAAGTATTACACATGAGATGAATGTAGAATATTGCAAATTTTTCAGTAATTTAGTTTAAAATAATAGAGACAAAGTAATATCAATAATACTTATATAAATGAATGTCCAATATAAAATCTTTTTTTTAAAGTTTTACTTTTCTTGCTTTTAGTGAAGCAAATTCATCAATTATTTTATCAAAATTATTTTTGTTTTGTAAACAGGGCTGTGGAGTCAGAGTCATTAAGTTTTAGTGTTTTAGTTGGAATTGGAGTTGTCAAAAATCTGCTACTTTGACTACCTTTTACTTTCCCAACTTGTTATGTATATAAAACAAAGTATTGGAACCATGTCAAATTTGACCCTAGGAGTTATTTTGCAAATATACATGTTTGGAGATCTCCTGAACCCAAAAAATTGAAATAAAGACAACTCTTAAAAGGTTGTCTAAAGACATTGTAAATTTGAGATCTCCAAATGTGAAGGGGGAAAATTCGTGTGTTGGAATCTAATTTGTTTAATTTCTTTACTCATTCAGAGATATTGTTTAATATCTCAGAACAGAGAATAAAGTTTAAGAAACAAAATTTGGCATGGTAGCTTATGTATAAAGGGGTATTAATGCTATTAAATTTTGGTTCTTAATTAAAGATCAACAGAGTGGAGACATAAAAGGGGTCATGTGTCATATCTCCAGTGTGGTCACACTTAATGAATATTTTACTGTATTAAATGTTTTATTAAAAACTGTGAACATTTTTTTATAAAACATCTCTACCCTCAAAATTAAGCTTTTTGTCATTTTATAATAGTACAGTAAAACCCGGTTAAGATATTCTTTCCCGAGATATTAGAATGTATGGGAGCACAATTTAGTTCAACCACTTTGAAGCTTAATAACTCCTGTGTTATACCATCCAACTCTGATTCAAAAACTACAGAAGTTATTAGGCTTCAAACAGGGTGAACAAAATCATGCCCCCCACAGTCTAACATCCATACATACGAAAAAAAAGCCCCAAATCTTTTGCATATCTCAACATTTCAAGGTGTCTCAAGTCTAAAAATGTAAAAATTTGCAGGGTCATTTTTTGACTAATCACCACACTTTCCCTCCGTTATATATATAACAGCTGGGAAAGTAAAAATTAGTTAATATATAAATATGTATTCAATATGTCCATTATTCCAAGCTAAAAGACTCCTCTTTAAGCTTTTATTGAGGTCACATGATGACATCAGAATTCCCAGGCCTATTTTGGTAACAAATACTCCCCTGGTCAGAATCAGATAGTAAGGCAAAGTTGGAGTAAAAAGTTGTGTAAAAATCTGCTGACCGGAGTCAGCAGATTTTTACACAACTCCACAGCCATTTGTAGATTCCTGTTCAATTGATAAAATTGTCACTTGCTCAAGAAAAATTGTTACATACATTTTGATAATTTTTAGTTTACTTAAGCCTCTTTCACCAGAAGTAACAGTAATAGATAGTATTAGGAGTATTCTTTATTTTTGTAACTCATGTCATTAGTTGATTATTTTTATTTTCAGTATTCTTGAATTCCTTCCATTTTGAAATTACTAACTTGAATACACAATTTACATGCTTGAAAATTTTTAATTTATTTTAATATTTTTGTGTATTTTATTTTTGAATCATGAAGATCAATCATTTATATTCTATTTGTGAAACTAATAAAATATATTTAAGACCTTTTCTTATAAAAGTATAGATATTAGAGATTGAGTATTCTCAATGCAACTTCTAAATTTGGATAGGACTGAACTAAAATATATTCATGAATCATTTTTCAAAGATTTAAACTTTTAGTTGCTTTAAGGTCTGGAATTAATGTCATTGCCTGATTTTTTTTTTTATAATAATTCTACAGAATTTATATCATTCTGATATTTAAGGGATAAAGCATACTAGGATGCTATCATACAAGCAAATGCAAATATCATCTAGTGAGGCGTTTCTCACAAATCATTAGTGTGCTTAAAGTATTTGATCATTTCAAATTTTATACATTTGGCTTTTTATTTATTTTTTCTTACTTTGCAATTTATTTTCATTTTTCACCTATTTGACACCCTTTCCTATTGTTCAACTGAGGCAAGTGCTTTGTTTGCCTCACCCTTGTCCTGGCTCTGATATGGAGAGTACAAATTTATAATCCATCATATCAAAATCATGTATCAGTAAATTATAAAAAAAAAAAGTTATATAGAATGAACTAAAAGTTAAACATATTTTTAAAAAATTTCAAAGTAAAATGATTAAATGCTTTTCAATTATTTAAAATTCAAGTTCCATCGAAATTTAGTTTTAAAATAATTGCCATTATTTAGTTGTTCAGATTGGCTTGATACTGATTTAACCATTAGTGGCTTGTACTAATTTAGCTGTTTAATATACTGATACTGATTAAACCAGTATATATTGTCTGGCTTTGCCACAATATAACTTTTGTTTTATATTATGTTTACTAGATAATGCATATATACAAATTATAATTGTGATAAAACAATTTTTATAACTACATTATCATAAAACTTTGATTTATACATTTTAAATACCGAAATTATATTTTAAATGATAATAACATCAATTTTTAAGTCTTCCAGTTGTTATTCTATAAAAAAAAGAATATTCTATAGTATAGTTTCTTAATTTTTTTAGTTAATAGAAGAAAGTGAAGAGAGGCTTACTGAAGAACAAATGCAAGAAATTCTCGAAGTGGTTGCTAGATTTTTACCTGGAGGACAAGATGAAGAACAAGATGACCAAGATTCCAATTGATAAATTAATAATAAATATTTTAAAATATATTATGTAAATATTTAATCAGTTGGTCTTTAAATGTAAATAATGAAAAAATATGAATCAAAACATGCATCATTTGAAATATTCCAAATAAATTTTTTTTTAATACTAGTAAGTGAATTTTATTTGCAGACTTAGTTTGTAAAAGCTGTTTTATTATTGGCATAATGCAATAATTTCAGGAATACTTTTGAGATTATCCTATTTTGTACGATTATTATTGCTAAACTTTCGTCTTTTCTGGATGCACAACTCTTGTATATTAAATTTTATGGATACATTTTAAATGAAATCTATATATATAACCCATTCAACGGGTGTCTGTCCGCATAACTGTTTGATAACTGACACTAGAGGCGCCCCTATTGTGTGTCATATTTCGAACATTCAAATTAACAATTTTAATTATTATTTAAATTAAAAATATAAATTATTATTATTCATTTGGCCCATAAATTATTATTTGGTCAATATAACAATATAAATAATTCAGTATATTTGTAATAGGTATTTATTTCAGGGGCTTATATCTCACAAAGGGTCGCGAGTAGGGGTATGGTTCCTTTGACTTTATTGTTCGCACAGAGGCTACAGTTTGGGGGTCGCCACCTCTTCATTCGGAGGGTAAATCTTATCATTGGGACTTTAACAGAGATGTACAGCATATTGATAGGAACAAAAAAGTCAAAGGAACTGTGCCTCATGGAAATTTGTAAATAATGCCCACTAAGGGCGTCCCAGGCTACTAGTATACAATAAATGACATTGGATTAATGAACTTGTACTGGACTTTTATATCAACTTTCTGAAGCCCGATATATTGCTATTAAGCCAAACGATTGCCATAATTAATCAAGGCTATTAATTAGAAACCAAAAAAATAAATTAGTTTATTATTAATTATAGCATATTAATAGCTCAATTGATTACGATGATTGTTTGGCTTGTACTGTACTATCTTCTGAAAATTAGCTAATAATCTGGCTAATCTTCCGTGGATTGTAATTTGGATAGATGCACTAATGATCTTAAGTGGAAATACAGAAGAGTGGAATATGAACAGTAATCATTGAAAAAAAAACCGTAAAAAAACATTTACAGTCTTAACACACTGCACTGTACTATCTTTAGATTAAAGAATGTGCATAAACAGATTAAAAGTAAATACTGATATAAAAAATAATGTTCAGATCAGGTGATGAATTTTGCAAAAATACAATACCGTTCTAGTTCCTTAGCTGCCAGATTTAACAAACTTCTATATTTTCATTATAACAGAATTCATAAAAACAAATTTTTATCCATATTATTACAATCTGGAATCTCTCGTCATTCCTTGTTTCATGACCATAGAATTGATTTGCTAGGATCTCTGTCTTTCTACACCTTATCAATCTATTACATTAGTTCTTGGAAAATCATCAAGTCATTAGAAACTGAGTCTACTGTATCTGCTTTAAAACTAACTCGTACAATTGTCACGTATTTTTGCTTAATGTGTAATTTATATATATATAAAATTTGTAATTATAAAGTTATAATTACTTTGTTGAAGTATCAATTATTGTTATAATATTAAACTAAAATAGTATACCCTAAGGGTGCGACTATGCAGACGCGAATTTAGAGCGAGTGAGAGGTTGCGAGCAATTTAGTTTTTGCAAAGGAAAACCATGCACAAACGAGAAGCGAGAAATAACGCTAGTGACAGCAAATTTCTGGTTCTCGCACATATCTGACAGGTTTTGATATTTATCATGTCTCACCTCTTCTCACCACATATTCTCACTCGCTCACATCTGCATAGTCGCACCCTAAGAATGAATATAAAGAATTAATTAATAAAAGTTCAAAAACAGCTTTAATTCATACATATAAAAATAATTTTATTTTACATTATATGATTTCAAATTACAGAGCCAAATGAAATGAACTTGGTTGATGTATTCATTTCTAAATCATTGTGCAAATTTTACAGCAAAATCTTCTCCAGTGCCATCTTCAATCATAGCATTTTGTTCACATTCTCCTGCATAAATAATAAAATTTATAAATGTACTACAAAATACATAGTTTAATATGTGTTTAATTACAAAAATAAACTTTCAAATTGTTCAGTGAGTGCATTCTCACCATTTTCCCATCTAATAGATGCCACATGCACCTCACAGAAAAATGGTTTGGCCCACACATTTGGCCAATTTCAGGACCCCTGCACTTTCATCATGACTTATATAAAAATTTATATCAACTGTTTTACAATTATATCAAATCATTTATTTTTACTATAAAATATCAGAACTTCCAATATATTTGAAAACAAAGTATTTCTTATCACTTTAAACTGTAGTAGAAACTTCATTTAGCATATTTTTTCACCAGTTCCTTCAATATTCATAAACCACAATGTTAACATTACATCATGTAGCATCTTTCAATTTCATATATTTTTGGAATTTAATGCACCAAAAACTTGATCTCTAGGTGAATTTTCACCTCAATGTTTTTCAAAAAAACTGAAATGTACTATATTTTATGTTTGGGTGGTCAGGAAAGTTAAAAATGAATTAATGAGATCATTTCACCAGCTTGCAATAGTTACAAAATGTCACATTCTATAGTTTTGGTACCTTGGCAACTATTGCTAGATTCTGAGATTGGCATAGCAAGCAAAGTGATATAAATGTTTTCAAAGTTCACTGTAGATTCTGAGGCTCAAGTGCAGTATTCTTCTGCAATTAGAAATCTGGACATTATGGCAACAAGTACAAAATGCAAAAGGAAGTACTTAATGCATTATAGCAGTGCTGACATTCTAAGTTTAAAATATTTCGAACTGCAGTGATAAAGACATGTCAAATCCTCAGCAGAAACAAGTATTCTTGATTACTTTCCCTGATTATGGAGTACAAAAGAACCTAACAGTTTTATCATCTTTGTGTTTAGAGATGCCAATTGTCATGCAAGAGTTAAAAAAAATCAATGAATTAATGAGATCTTGTATGAAATATTAAGTGCTTTTGTGGAAGTGTTTAAAACATGTCAGAACATATGTTTTTTTAAGGATGTTTGGATTTTGTATTCCTCAATTTAATGTATTTTTTCATCAGTTCCTTGAAAAACATTGAATCATATTTCTACTGTATATTAAAAGTTAACTAAAAATACTCTATTATTTTGTGACATATTAGAGAGGTTGAGGCGCACGTTTTAAACGTGTAAACGTGTACGTGTGACGTTCGGCGCCGCTTTCCCTTAAGCCTAAAAGTTTGACAATGGTGTTTGGATAGTCGGTGGAATCATGCTCAACATTCCAAACACCATCGTCAAACTTTTAGGCTTACGGGAAAGCGGCGCTGAACGTCACACGTACACGTTTACACGTTTAAAACGTGCGCCTCAACCTCTCTAATA